TCCTCTATGGTCATTCTCACATGTGTTTTCTTGGCTTGAACCTTACCACTGGCTTTCTTGGGACTCATGGCAAGATATATCATAACAAATTTTATGTTCAAATAGCCAAAAATCCCAAAACAAATGTAATGCTTTGCAAAGAATTCAGGCGCGATACTTACTAGGCAGGAGACACTGGTAAACTGAGGCGCGATCACCATGCCACCACGCGCTAGGTCAGCCCATACGTATATCAACAAACTCCTTTCCCGAGGCAAAGCTTGTAACCCGATTCAAATTTTTCGAAGAAATTAGGCTCGTAACCTGAAAAGTTCATAAATATTCATTCGTAAGCCGAGGTGTCACTATATATAACTAAAAAATTAAACTCAGGATTACTTTCAACCCCCACTTCTTTTGCTCTACTCCATCGCCACCTACCTTCACCCCCCTCTATGATGTACTCTTCCATAGATACCTACCTTTGCCCCCCCTCCTCCCCTCTACTCCTCCATCATCACCTACCTTCACACCCCCTCCCTTCTCCTCCTCCATCGTCACCTTCCTTTCACCCTCCTCTATGATGTACTCTTCCATAGACACCTACGTTCGCTGAATATAATGCTCCCCTCTACTCCTCCATCGTCACCTACTTTCACCCCACCCCCCTCCGCTCTACTCCTCCAGGGTTGCAGACAATTTCACGAGCGTGAGAACTACGAGTTCTCTAACCACTCTCACACTCCTACTCTCTCACCAGTGAGGGGGAGGGAAGGAGGGAGGAAATGAAGGAAGAAAGGTGGGGGAGAGAGAATAGGCAGGGGGGGAGGAGGGCCTAGATACATTTCTTCCATATAGATAGGTAGACTGAGGGAGAGCTGCATGCCAAGAGCCCTATCAGACAGGCTTCCTATTCCTCAACCCTCCCTAATATGCCACATCCTGGTCAGGACAACTTGCTCGATTGTTATTCTTGGTGTGACTCGAGAACTGACCTCGAGGCGGGGCATGGGCATGGATTATCTCCCTGGGGCACGCACCTCCCTGCCCCAGCTCTCTCTCTATACTAGATGTACAATAGTACATTCTGCGTACATTCATTCTGAGCAATAATTCAGTAGTAGTTTGCAGTACATAAATAATTAAATAATACTAACAGCCGAATGCATCATTGCCCTTGAAAAACTATGGTAAAAGCATTCAAAATATGAATAAGATGTATTATGTTCAATGCGTGCTGTTACAACTTCATGTAAAATATGCAGGGCTAAGCTGAATTTGGATCACTGGTTACTAGATTACCACGCCCGGAACGGGAGCCGATCGGCCGAGCGGACAGCACGCTGGACTTGTGATCCCGTGGTCCCGGGTTCAATCCCGGGCGCCGGCGAGAAACAATGGGCAGTGTTTCTTTCACCCTATGCCCCTGTTACCTAGCAGTAAAATAGGTACCTGGGTGTTAGTCAGATATCACGGGCTGCTTCCTGGGGGTGGAGGCCTGGTCGAGGACCGGGCCGCGTGGACACTAAAAAGCCCCGAAATCATCTCCAAGATAACCTACCAGAACTGATTAGTGGATCATATTAGTGTATGTAGATATACTGTACATAGAATATGTATGCAATGCGATAATAGCAAAAACCAGCACATTTTATTGTTCATAGAATATAATACTGTGTGTGTATATTAGTGATACAAATGTGTATTTATATTTTGCATGTTTTATAGAAATTTCTTAAGTTAAACACTGTTGCATAATATAGCTGCAAAATACCAGTGAATAAAATCAGTAACACTAAAATAATGTAAATGTATTTTTGGCAACTCATGTCACCCAGGGAACCTTTATGCCTGGTAATCTCATCCACCAATGTCTCCAAATTGTGCCCGAGATATTTCTTCTTTCGACCACAGCCAAAGTAAACTAAATGTTAATTATTATTTTTCAGTGATTATTTTAACATTAAAGAACTTTTTTTTCACACCATGGAGTTGTTACTAGTATAAGTAACAGGCACACAGTGTAGGGGTTTAATCTATTTAAAGATTTACAAATTCAAGACACCTACCAATTTGATTAAAATAGCGCTCTAAATTGTCACAATCCAACTTAGTGCGGCAGAATATTAGTGCTTGATCCATTTTGTGTGTGTCAATAGCCTTAATGCAGTACTCTCCTTTCAGCAGCTTCACCGCCTCACTTAATGTCTCTGAAAGGAGAAAAAACAAAACAGCAATGAATGTAAAGAAATGCCTCTTTCCGGTAGATGTCCAGTGGCCCTCCTGAAGCTATCTCACCGAAATTGCTCCGTGCAAGTGGATCACACCAGTCACGGAATTTGTTTGGACATGATTCGATATTCAATAATGCTATATTCAGTAATGCTATACAGTATTCATAATCCTATATATTCATGATCATAATGTTAAATTCAAGCTATTATTAACTACTGGAAAATATTATCAAGTATTGCATTATTGGGAGAGTGAGTACTACATAATACTGTAATCTCAATGCTAGAAGGGTATGAGATTAGCGCTGCAATTGAGTGGTGGACCGGAGCACTAAAGTAGCAATCACCAATAGAACAACAGCAACAGAACTGAGTAGGGAAGTTAGTTGAAGGCAGGGGCCAGGCCAACTGGTCGTGCCGATCGGTACTAATGCTTAAGTACAAGCCAGCTTAAGTGAACCTCAAAAAATATTCATAGCTCATAATGTGAAGCAGCATATTACAAACCATTAAAATTGGCAAATGGTATCTAAATACATATCTGAACAAGCTAAATAAAAATTCCGGACACCAAACTGAAAAGCATAACAAATTAAAACATTAGAAGCACTTACACTTACAGTACTTTAAAAAACTAAGACACATTCTCAAATATTAACTGTAAAGCTTAGCCTTGCACTTTTATTTGCTTACCAGGTGTATTGTTCCCAGGTCGTACGCCATCCTTAACATGCACGCCATCAGTTTGCAGATGGCGACGAAGATTGCTCCAGCTACTATCCGTTCTGGGATCAATGGTTACGACAACATGGTGGACAGTCTCGGGCACAGCATCTTCCCCTTTAAGATCTACCCAGGTCGGGAAGTGCATCAAACGTTCCTATGTAAAGTTTTTCTATAGTAAAATTCACTGGTCGGAGCAAAATTATTTTAAGGTATTGAAATATCTGTACTCTATTTGGAATTCAGAGGCTCTAATATCAAGAAAATATTCTTGGTAAAATTATTATTTTTTTCTTCTTTATACAAATTTTTGTACATCTCTTATTTATAGACACTAAATTAAAAACCAAAATTAAAAAAAATATTATACGATAAAAGTTTTGGCTTCAACATGTACACCCTTATTTAACAGACTAGTAGCTACCAATTCTTTCAAATAATCTACTATAAGAACTGACATAACAATGATTAGCAATACAGTACATTATATTCATACTGTACCATTTACAGACAATTCTATTTTATCAGTTAATAATAACATTTAAATACAAAATATAGCAAGTACTGTACTTCTGTTCATTTTTTAAGTGTAATCTGCTTTAAATACATTTTCCATCTCCTTAATACAATCAAGCAGAATTTCAACATTTTTCTACATATTTCTGGAATAAATAATTTAAATAGACTTAAATAGTGCATTGCAAGTGCATCGTTAGGTGCAATGCACTTGCACCATCCACACACAGGATTCTTAAGTTCAGTGTCTAGTATCAGACAAGCTTGCTCCACTACCACTATGTTCCACTTTCACGAGGTTGGAAGGCATCAACACCAAGAAAACATGGAGGCGTATACGAAGAGATAAAACTTGTTACACATATTACACAATAAATTAACCATACTTTTCACAAAACACAATCACAGAACATGAATGACCACACACACCAGTAAATCAATAGCAGCAATGATCCACAGTAGTGCTTAAGTAGGTATACAGAGCTCCTTGTGAGATGCCAATTACTGCAGAAAAACAACAACACAAACTTCCTCTTCACAGGAAGATGGGATGATATGCAACCCGTCCTCTTAAAAATAACGTCACTTTTCGCTCGTATACGGGCTATGGCCAAAAGTGGACGTAATTTGAAATGAAATTAACTCACAAATGAGACGTACTGTCCTGTTTTCTGTTTGAGTCGTACGGCTTACTCGGTAAGGTTAGAAGAGGAGACTTTCAATTAACGTTTTTCATAACGTTTTGAAACTTTATGAGAATTTCCTGCCCACCTAACCTACCAGAGGACCCTTAACTTACTGTTGTTGAAAAAAAAAAATCCCAAATTTTCATTTTTTTTTTTCATTTTTATATAACTGTACGTCCACTTTCGGCCATACAGGCAAACGGCCAAAAGCGACATTTTTAAGAGGACAGGTTGTGAAATGAGGGAAGAGAGGGAAGGAAGTAGCTGCACTGATGCCTTAAAGTCCTCAAGTGAAATCTGCATGGAAAATTGGTAATGATGCTGCTCCTCTGTGAAAGGTTCTCAAAATTAAGTTTCTATAGCTCTTAATGACAGCTTTAAAGCAGGTGGATGAAATGTAACATGCCAGAGTTTTGTCATCATCATCCTACAGGCTCACCATAGCCCGTGCTGCTTGGGACTTTTTGTTCCAAGTAGCGAATCTTGAACATCAACATCATCATCCATACTTGGGTGAAACATATGGAGTTGTAGCAGTGTGCGAGGGGTGAGATATTGTGCAGCTGAAAGCTTTACTGTGGATAGTAGAAGACTTGAAAATGAGTAAACTGAAGCAAACTGTAGTAGAAAGGATGACGAGTGTGTGATGTAGGAAGTACAGTACTAGAATCTGTCGTTTAAATATTTGATGCGTGTAATTGGAAAAAAGTTTCATGCAAATAAGATTGAGCAAAGACAGAACTGAGGGAAGGAAATTGACTGGTGGAATGTAAACCGTGCCTATAGTAAAAGCAACATACTAAATATTGTACTATATTTACTATGATATTATCTTTTCTTCTATTTTTTTCAGGTAACACATTTTCAGCAGCCTTCCAACATGAATAGTAAAGCTTTAAACTACTGAATCTCTCACCTTCACCACTTCTGCAATTACATTCATAAAGTCTGATACACAAATTCCTAACATGCACTTATGATTCAATCTACAGTATTTCCACATTGAAAAAGAGAGCATTAAGTAACTTTGAAGTATTAAAGACACAATGTCATATTATATATATAAAATATGTATACCTAACCATTAATAAAATGTCACCCTTGTACAAAATATTCTTTATGGAAACTAATTGATACATTAGACAACATTCTTTCCACTCCATATATGCTTGGAACACACTAGTCATGCTATTCACTGTTAATTTTCACTTGATTATTATATAGTATACCATAATCTAAGATAATTCATAATCCTTAGTCTTAAGACATTGCACCGTTGAGAAGGCACAATTTTCCTTAGCAAACAAGTGTTACCAAATAAGGGTTCAGAAACTTACTGCCATGCGCTTCACTTCAAAGGAATGTAGGGTGGCAGAACAGACCACCATCTGGAGTCTCTTGCCTTCAGATGTGATTTTGGGTATGGAGTTGTAGATGTTATTGATGAGACGCTCATGCCCCTGCAATACCAGTACACTTGTATACAAGATAAAGTAATTACATGAAACAAAATATGGCAAGAAATTTAATGCAATAAATGAAAGTCAACAAAATACAGTAATGCATCAAATTACCTTATAAATAAATCAGCTGTATATTTAAAGTCATTTAAAAAATATGACCAACCTTTCCAGGATGAAATCTATAAAAGTTGCCCAACTCTCAAGTGCCCATTTACTGATAGCCAAAGACGCACATTAAGGAAATGTGTAAATGTTCCACGAGTAGTTGACTTAATACAAGAAATCAGGTAGTCAAGAGTTCTTAGTTTTTTCTCTAATTCATAAGGCAAGCTGATGATACAGTACTTGAATTTATATCAGGTATTCCTACATATTTACTACCAAAATATAAAAAGTACTTTTCCTTGGATAAAATCAAACTTACCTGTTTAAGAAGTCCATCAGCCTCATCCAACACAAAGAATTTGCAAGACTGGAGAGAGAGTTGTCCTGTATTAATAAGATCTTCCAAGCGTCCTGGAGTACCACAAACAATATCCACACCTGCATTGAGTGCTGCTATTTGCTCCTTCACGGGTATACCACCAACAACAAGAAGGTCACGAACCACTGGATTATCTAGATGCTTACGAAACATTTGAACCTGTTTTAGGGTCTGTTCTGCGAGTTCTCTTGAAGGCTGTTAAATGATAAAAACTTTTGTTTGCATTAAAAAAAAATGGTCTGCTTTTGGAACTTGCCACTTCTATCTAAACTGTTTAACAATTCACATAGCACAACATACTACTTTTAGTTTGAATTTTCATATTGTATGTATCCAGGATTTAATGAACAGGTTAGTTTAAAAGCAACAGTGATGTAAAAATGAATCTGTACCGAACTGTATAGGTTATATTGTTAGACATCCATCCAGCAATCAATATAAACCAGATACTGGACAAGTAAATACAGACCAGTCACGTGTTACCATTCTTACCTCAATAATGACAGCATGTGGAGCATTGTTCTGAAGCTTTTGTGGCTTGTCTCCACCTCCCTTCACACCTGAGCTCACAGTACAGTCCTTGCTGGCCTGAGACACTGCTACGTATCCCGCTTTAGGTGGGTGCTTGAACTCTGTTGCACCAAAATTGAAAGACATCTCTGCATTCTGGAAATCACGTAAATTGCTAGCATCTGTAACTTTCAAATATCATTAAATTCACTGAAGTTATTCTTGCACTTTATTGAAATTAGAGAGATTTGAGTAAAGAACCAACAGTTAAAAACTGATAGAAAATTCAATAAGAAATTTACTTATTTGTATTAATTTTCTTAATGACCTAGATCATAAATATGATCCAAATTTTGGAGGTGTCACTGTATATATACATGACCACTATACACTTTTGAAATACACCAAGTCCAAATACTGTGACCCCCCCCCCAAAAAAAAGAAAAAACTGGGCAAATTTCAGTCTGCCTTAGACCATATCTATAATTAATTAATAACATCATCCAATTATCCACTGCTTAAAATACACAACAAACATGAATAATGCATGTACTATACTACCAACCTTCAAAACTACAGCTGGATGGAAGACAGCATTCTTGAATTCACTTCGTAATGTGAAAGCTTTACCTAAATCGGTGCCATTTTTGCTGTAATGCATCTCCATGGCATCCAGGTTGAGATAGCAACCAATGACATCCCTGAGGCCAAAAGATTCACCATAATTGTCAAACTGCTTGCAATTAGACTTTTTCCAGTGCCTCCAAATCCAAATCCCGATTTACATGTTCCAAGATCTAATGCTGCCTGAAAATATAAGTTGTTTTGGTTGTGAACATAAAAAATATTATTGCATAAGGGCAATTGATAAAATATAACATCTCCCAATGCAGGTGAAAATACAGTACAAACTACAGCAAGCCTTTGCTTCTTTAAGTTTTGAAACCATTAAATTCACCTAACATGAGGTAGGTACTTTTTTTTTTTTTACTACAAATACGCAAGTAATGGTTTACTAAGCACAAATTAGTGTTTTAATTTGTTTTACCAACTTTCTGCATTAAATTCTCGCATAATTATCTTTTCCAAATGGTCTTCAATGCCTGTTCCTTCCACCCCCCCCCCCCCCAAAAAAAAAAATAAAAAAATATTTACTCACTTTCATTACCGTTTTGGAAACAATGGCCGTTTCCAGGATGGAGGTGTCAAACAGTTGGGTTTAACTTTACCAGTGTTCTCTTTGGCGAGTAACCATGTTTAATAAATGATATTCAATCAAGTCATTTTCTGATATGCAGAGTGCAGCTGCATTTCCCTCAACAATGGCTCGATTCGTCTGACTTCATCAAATATTTGTACATCATCATCAATGGATGTGCTAGTCGATGCATTCAAATATGGTGCCGACTTTCCTGGCAGTTGTGTTGATTTCAAGGATTGAATTTGTTGGTTAATATGGAGAGTTTGGGGCAAATGCTGCCTGGAAGTTTTGTATGGAGAGGCTTGCAGCTATTATAACAGTTTACAATTTTAAACTTGTTTTCATGAAATTTGCTTATGTAAAGCAAGGGCTTACTGTATTATTATTATTATCACATGAAGATGAAAATACATGTGAAAAATGCAATCTCTAGAACAAAAGGAGTTGTATACAGGTATAAGTAAATAAGGAAGATTATGATATGACTACTTGTGAAAACTTCACTACAAAATCATACCTACCATAGTACCACTTCTGAAGCAATTCTATGAATACCATTTTGAAAGATTAATGCAGAAAACTGTCCCTTAGGCTATGTTTTTGGGAAGATATGCACAAGATATCAAGGCTCATTATTACCTTTGCAGAGTGAAGTTGTAGACTTACACAAGAACAATCAAGATCTATCTACCAAAGTCGTCAACCTCGAACAAGAATTAAGCATTCTCAAGAACACAGTTACAAACTTTAATCCAGATGCAACCACTAAAAAACAGGAAGAAATATTGCAACAGTTTGAGAACCATCTGAACAACCTACAACAACACACTGTTACCCAAGACGAGACAGACCAACATAAACTACTTGAGTCTGTAATTATCTCTTCACGTGATTTTCCCCGAGAAACTGATGGTGAAGACTGTGCTGCCATCGTGATCAAAGTATTGCAGGATAAGTTAAGTTATTCGATCCAAAAAATGACATCAAAGCAGCTTATAGAGTGGGTACCAAATCATCTGGTACTAATAATAGGCGAATTCGTTTAAAATTAGATAGCTGCTCCCGCAAGACTGATCTTATCTCATCTGCAGTTGCTAGTAAATCCACTGTTTATGTGAATGAATGTCTGACCAGGTGCAGGCAAAATCTCTTTTTTAAACTGCGTGGCTTCTGCAAAAATTCCCCTACAATTAAACACTGTTTTGTGCGAGATGGTAAAATTATAGCTAGGAGGACTGACACTGGAAAAACCTATTCAATAACCACAGAAGCTCACCTTAATTCTTTCCTCAATGACTGTGGGATATCTGCTGTATAGCCTGAATTCAAATTATAATCTCATTTAACTACCTTTATGTACTCTAGCTCTGCTTTTCCCTTCAAAAGGTTTTAACTTTAGTTAAAAAAAAAAAAAAATTGTCATCTTTATTATTGTCTTTTTTTTCTTTTTACTCCCATGTTCCATAGTACACTGGCTTTGCCTGTGTCCTCTAGTATTAACTTCATTATCCAGTGTTCCTGAGTGTATCTCTATTTAAACTACCTCAGTTTGTTTTAGTGTAACTTTAGTATTCAACTATAGTGTACTTATAATAGTATAGTAAGCAAGCTTTTCATCTTATAGATTTCATAATTTTTTTTTTACTTTTTTGGTCATCTATTGTTATTAGTTATTCTAGTTAATTTTTTACATTCCTAGTTCCCATTAAGTTTTTTTTTCTTTTTACTTAAAATTACCATTAAGTTTATTTTACTTTAGAATTTTTAATCTACTTTTTTCTTTGTTTTCTATTTTGTAATTTGCCATTCTTGCCTTGTTTTCCTGCAAACAGCCGTTTTATGCAGACAAGTATAGACCCAGAACTAAACCTCTTATCCACTATCTATGACAATCATCACTTCAATGATCAAAATTGCAGATATTTTACACCACATGATGTAAACAATGTATTAACAGATAATCACAATATCTCTGTAATCAACTTGAACGAACCTAGGTAAACACTTCGATGATGTTAGTGCCTTGATTGAAACTATTGACAACAAATTCTCTTTTATTATACTTACTGAAACGTGGTTGAAAGAGGATAATACTCAACTCTTTAACATGCCTAACTACTCGGCAATTCACAACTGCCGTCAAATGCAGAGAGGTGGTGGTACTGCTCTTTACTACCACCAAGAACTAACATGCTTAAAAATAATTAGAACTAGAGACTGCTGTGGGGAGTATATCTTCGCCAGTTTCAGAGTCAAGGGTGCCGAGTCTGTCCTGTCTGTAGGTGCAGTCTATAGAATTCCTAACACTGATGTGTCTGAATTCAACTCAAACCTTAGAAATCTAATTTATTTATTTATTTATTTATTTATTTATATATATACAAGAAGGTACATTGGGTTAGTAATACTAGATATACTAATACTAGATAACAGATTGAACAAAAACCATCTAATTATAGCAGGGGACTTTAATATTGACCTCTGCGAGCCTGAACACCCTACTGCTGTTAGCTTCCTCAACTGTATGAATTCCTGCTTCCTCATACCCTTAATCACTAGACCAACTAGAATCACTGATAGTACTGCTACGACTCTAGATCACATCTGGACCAACATAACCTCTCCGCTTACTTCAGGTATAATCACCGATAGCACTACAGACCATTACCCCACATTTCTCTTAACTAACATTAGCAAACCACCTCTAGAGACAAGGGAGTTAAGTTAGGTAACATAGGGGACATCATCCTAGCAGTGCAATCTTTTCTACAACAACTCTTAGCCTTTATAACACCCACTGTCCTATGCTTACAAAACAAGTCACAAGCAAAAGACTTAACAATCCTTGGCTTACAAAGGGAATACTTAAATCCATAAACAAAAAACACGACCTTGAGAAGAAGTATAGGCTAGGAACAGTCTCCAAAGAATTCTCAAAGAATTACTCGTTATTGCTATCTAAAATAATTAGACGAGCCAAAACTAAATACTATGAAGATAAATTTACCCAAATAAAGAGCAACATTAAAAAAACTTGGAGCACAATTTCACAAATATTGGGATCAAAGAAGATTTTAAATAACAAACCAACACTCCTTTCCAATAACGTTGGTCAGCTTTCAGCCTCTGATTCTGCTATTGGGTTCAATAGGTTCTTCTCTTCCATTGGGTCATCCCTTGCAAATGATATTCCATCTTCCTGTACTGATGTTAAGGGCTATCTTACAGGTAACTATCCACAGTCTCTGTACCTAAAGCCTACTAGTTCCACTGATGTCAATGAAATAATCCTTTCCCTTAAAACCAAGTCTAGTGCCCTCGAGGAGATACCAACTTTAATTTACAAAAAAGCCTCCAGATCTCTAGCCCCTGCTATTGCATTGCTCTTCAACAAGTCACTTGAACTCCAAACCTTTCCTGACATTCTAAAAAAAGCAAGAGTAACCCCTATCCACAAATGTGGTGATCTCACAGATGTTAACAACTACAGACCTATATCAATCCTGCCTAACTTGTCAAAAATATTCGATAAACTAATCTACAAGCAGCTTTACTCTTTTCTAGCCAAACACAATATACTTAGCTCTTCTCAATATGGCTTCAGACCCAAAAAAAGCACTAACGATGCACTTATTAGTATGATTAACTTAATTCACGCAGCTCTTGATAAAAAGGAGTTTCCTGTTGGGTTATTTGTGGACCTGCGTAAGGCTTTTAACACTGTCAACCATCAAAACCTTCTTCTTAAATTACATCATTATGGAGTCAGAGGACACTCCCTGCAATACTTCAAATCTTATCTTACTGACAGGCTCCAGTATGTTTCTGTGAATAATACAATTTCTCCCACCCTACCCATCAACATTGGTGTTCCTCAGGGCAGCATACTTGGCCCTCTCCTCTTTCTCATCTACATTAATGACCTTCCAAATGCCTCACAACACCTCAAACCAATTCTATTTGCTGACGACACAACCTTCATTTACTCCAGTCCTGACCCCCTTGCTCTAAATGCCACAGTAAATACTGAGCTAGAGAAAGTCCATCTTTGGTTAACTGCCAACAAACTCACCCTTAACATTGACAAAACGTTTTATATTCTGTTTGGCAATAAATCCTCTAATCAGATAAATCTCAAAATAAACAATACCCAAATTTGTAACAAATTAGATGGCAAATTCCTTGGCGTTCTCATCGACCACAAGCTGAATTTCCAGGGTCACATTCTAAATATATCAAAAAAAGTTTCAAAAACTGTTGGCATTCTTTCTAAGATCAGATATTATGTACCCCGCCCTGCCCTGGTTACTCTCTATTACTCCCTCATCTATCCATACCTCAACTATGGTATTTGTGCTTGGGGTTCTACTACCCAAAATCATTTACGTCCTCTTATTACCCAACACAAAGCTGCTATTAGGACAATATCCAACTCTGGCCCCAGACATCACTCGGTACCCTTACTCAAATCTCTGAATATGTTAGATATTAAGTCACTGCACATTCTCTCTTGTGTATTATACATATATAAAACGCTGAACTGTAATGCCAATCCTGACCTCAAAAGCTTCATTGAAGGTTGTAACAGAACCCATGAGCACCACACCAGAAATAAATACAGTTTTGATATTCCTAGAGTACGACTTAATCAAACTAGAAATGCTCTACAAATCAAGGGACCCAGAATGTGGAATGACCTTCCCAACCATGTTAAAGACTGTACAAGATTTGATCCAAGAAGTCGCTAGAGAACTACACTGCCCCATTTCAATTTAAACTCGTTATACCATAGTAACTTGTGTAATATCAAGTTGACAGGTAATGGCATTAATAAGATATTGCAGCCCATTCACCTGTTTTAATAGTACTTATAGGAAGGATGAGGACGCTAATACATGTACATATGGGCCAATAGGCTTTCTGCAGTTACCTTCATTCTTATATACCGATGTACAACACAATTAGAAAGTAGAAATTGACGTGTTTTCTTCTTAATAACTTATTAAACCAAATGTCTTTTTATGTCAGAAGAACGGCAGAAACTGGATCTATATATGAAAACTCTTTCAGGACAAAATTTAAAGTAAAACTAAAGATATTTGTAGTTGTATAAAAGTTGCATTTTTCATCGGTCGTAGAGCCGGAAATCCGCAATATTCATCTCAGAACAATGCTTGTTTCACGCAGAATCGTTAATAAACGTAAGATTTTTATACGTCTCAAGAAAGATAGAAACATAAATTTACTTTAATCTTTTTTTTTTTTTTTTTTTTTTTTTTTGAGATATATACAAGAGTTGTTAAATTCTTGTTCAGCCCATAGTACGCGTAGCGTTTCGGGCAAGTCCTTAATCCTATGGTCCCTGGAATACGATCCCCGGCCGCGAAGAATCGTTTTTTCATCCAAGTACACATTTTACTGTTGCGTTAAACAGAGGCTACAGTTAAGGAATTGCGCCCAGTAAATCCTCCCCGGCCAGGATACGAACCCATGACATAGCGCTCGCGGAACGCCAGGCGAGTGTCTTACCACTACACCACGGAGACTGTTCTAGAATCTAGTTTTACATAATCTAGTTTTACTTTAAATTTTGCCCTGAAAGAGTTTTCATATATAGATCCAGTTTCTGCCGTTCTTCTGACATAAAAAGACCTTTGGTTTAATAAGTTATTAAGATGTTTTCAACAATATTACTAGGGCGTTCACCGATTCCAACATGGGCGACCCTTTTGGAAAAGGATACAAGACACTCCGTACATTGACAACATCGCACACTAATATTTTTACCACTTCGGACACCAGCTTTAGTCGTTTCGCATATGTGTACGTGTTCCATATTAAAACGACAATATAATGCTATTAACAATTAAAATCTGCTATTTAACAGGCATATAGTTATTAAATGAAGTTTAGTAATGTAATAGACATAATCCGGAGTTGGTAAGGACGCCGCCCGCTCATGGAAACGCCACACTTGGGTTGACCCGATTGATAGACTGGTTATATTCCAACAGGGTCTGAGACATAAACACTGGCAGCATCACCATGTTCCTCAGGTCTCTCATCTCCGGCTACAGGGCTGCAGCCACCGATTTTGTAAGAAATCGGGCATTATTACAGGTATAGAGATATAATGTGGAGTCCATGTTTTCTCTTCACTTGTGTACGGTGCTGTACAGCTTTACTTCGTGTGTGTGAGCGATAACTTTGCAATCTCGTTAAATCACAATTTGTTTAGTTTATAAAGCAACCTTGTTCTGTTGGTGTTGATTTATGAGCTACGAAGGCCCAGGTGTCGAATAAGCCCAGCCTTTCCTTTGTCGGGAATAACACTAATACTTGCGGCTGCGTATCCCATCAAGTGAGACTTAGAGCATCAGCCTCCATCTCGGCCGAGCCAACGCCTGGACTCTGCCCCCAAAGATTAATAATAATAATATAATAATATTTTATTTAGGAAAAGTACATACATAGATGCAGAGTTACAAACATTCTGAATGATTTATAGATAGAGCTAGTACATACAGTACCTATAGCCACTAGTAGGCATAGTGTTTCGGTATGTTTTCGGTACGTTTCGCCACTAGTACGCATAGCGATTAAATTGGAACAATTAAAATCAGCCAACTTCCAGTGGTTGAAATTAAAATTGGCCAACAATGACTGAAAGGTGTTTCAGTGGTTGACGAGCATATCATCTGCAGTCCTATAAAGTCACTCAGAGTTACCCAGTTTGGGTAATGAGCACTATAAAGTATCTTGTAATGCATTGGGATTTATCTTCATTACTATATTTTCTGCTTGAGCTATTCAAATACAATATATATTTAAGTGTTGTTTGGTGCATAATCAGTTTTACAGAATTCAGAAATACTGCTTGCTATAACCTGTATAAGGTTTTAAACTATTTTATGCTGTGTGATGAACATAGCATGGTATCACACAGTGATACCTCTTCATTAGGTATGTACATTTAACTGTCAAAGTATTTTATTCAGTCATTAAAATGATTTCCTCAATTAACTTCATGCTTAAATTTGAAACACTTTCAGGTTACAGATGGCAATCCAATACGATGTAGTTTGGTTACCAGCACAAAATTACAGTGCAAGGCCAGCGAGGAAGAGACGATGGTTGAAGAACATGATCCGACCAAAGACCGTTCAAGAGTCATTCCATTGGAGACAAGCTTGAAGTACATGAAGAGTGAAGGTATAAATATGTATTGTGTGTTATGTTTGCATCCGAGTATCTTGTGATTCATGCCTGTAAGTTCTGTTGATATTCTGGAAAAATTAAAGAAAAGGGGATGATATGGCTACATTATTTGTAAGAGAATTATGTCTGTAAAAAGATGAACAAGGAAGATTTCAATGTTCCAGCTACATGTTGCACCAGCTGATTCACTTAAAGTAGCAAAATAAAATCCAGAAGATATGTGGGAGTAATTTTTCTCAGCTACCATAGTTTTTATAGATTGAATTCACTACAAAATTAGGTGGTGTGCATCAAGTGCATAGAGATCTTTGAAAGCATAAATACAAATTATTACAGTACTGTACAGTAATCACACGCTTATACTTGGGCTGGTCGGTAGAGAGACAGCAATAATAATAGAGCAGTAACTGGAATTTTAACAAATATTTTAATTTTGGACACTCATCATCACAAAATTATTTATACCTTTCCAGTGTTCTGACATAAATTTTCATGTTACATCTTTCATTTTGGTATCAAATTGTTTGTAATTTAAAGGTGCGCATTTTAAAACTAGTCCCATAATAACAACACAATAAATAGAATTTTAACAAATATTTTAAAATTTTGACCAAAATGTATTCATAATCTTTCAAGTGTTCTAACATCAAGTTTCGTTTTACATCTTTCATTTTGGTATCAAATTGTGTGCACTCTAAAGGTGCTCATTTTGAAACTATCCCGAAGTCAATTGGATAATAAATGAATTTTATACAAATATTTTTTTATTGGACACCAGCACAGTCCGATGCTCGGACTCAAGAGGAAAAAATCGGATGCTAGGGATGTTCGAAGAGTGCTATAGTGCTTAATTAAGTTTTTGTTTAACACTCAAGTAATACAATTATTGCTTAATGACTGAAGGGATGGATGGGTGGATTGAGCCAAGATATGTTAATCTTAGCCAAAGGTTTGATGAGTACTATACGTATTGTTTACATGACATCAGTGATCTTGTTATAGCACCAGAGAAATTAAATATTCATCAACCAGTCCACTACTTCATGAGACAAGGGTGTTTATAATAGTGATAAATATCTCTAAGGCATAATAATTCACAGGTACATAAATATAAACTAACTTCACAAATAAGTTGATTCAAATTGCCAAGCAAAGAAAGTATTGAACACAAAAAGAATATATTGCACAGAAGGTTTCTCTCCATTTTTTCTTGGAGTTTACTACTCTACCTACATCTGTGTTGACTCACCTGTATTGCCGTCTTCAATTCTTTAAAACTTTTCTATCTTCTTGGAAAGATGCTTTGGTACAGCCATCTGTTTTAAGAAATATGTTTCACGGTGGAATACTGGGAGCCAGATTGGCTGAGCTATAATTGCCTATAAATAAGCAACCTAAACAATACATAATACAGTACATACAGTATAGTGAGAAACAATCATATACTGTAATGTATAATATTACTACAAATGCATGTTTTCAAAATCTTTAATGGTGCTGTAATATTCTAAACTGATTACACACAGAAATCACAATAGCGTGATGCATCAAATGAACAAATCCACAAGGGCCGTGATGAGGGTTCGAACCTACGTCCGAGAGGATCCTAGACTCTGCCTTAATCGACTGAGCTACAGCATGGTTAAAAAAATTGCAACCGGGAAATCATCCTGACCTACCACGGATCCTGCAGTCTCTCTGAGACACAAACCAGGGTTTTACACAATTCCTCCATGCACCCAAGCTCTGTCAATAGGCTCTCCTACCTCTTCGCCCCCACTTCATTACACACAGAAATCACAATACCGTGATGCATCAAATGAACAAATCCACAAGGGCCTTGGCAAGGATTCGAACCTATGTTCGAGAGGATCCCAGACACTGCCTTAATCGACTGAGCTACGACATGGTTAAAAGAATTGCAACTGGGAAATCATCCTTACCTACCATGGATCCTGCAGTCTCTCCAATTCTTTTAACCATGTCGTAGCTCAGTCGATTAAGGCAGCGTCTGGGATCCTCTCAGATGAAGGTTCGAACCCTCGTCACTGCCCTTGTGGATTTGCTCATTGTAAACTGATGTACAGTATTATATTTAGAAGAAAATATGTAAAATTGCAGTTATTTTATATACAATCCAAAAATGACTCCAAGACTTTCATATTTAATGGGTCATATAACCAGTATGAGCTGCAGATGAGCTATACTCCTACTTTTCCATCATTCACACATGTTCAAGTTCAAGTAAGTTTATTGAGAAAATGAAGTACATCTCAAAAGGATAGAGTAGCTTAGGCTATTTCATAATATAGTGATAATTTAATGTATGACCATTTAAATTATATATTTCATATATAGTTCTGGTTAGGCCCCATTTAGATTATGCAGTTCAGTTTTGGTCGCTGTACTATAAAATGGATATAAATTCACTTGAACGTGTCCAGCGCAGGATGACAAAGTTAATCCCCTAAATTAGAAACCTGTCATATGCAGAAAGATTAACAAAGCTTAAATTGCATTCACTGGAAAGGCGAAGAGTTAGAGTTGACATGATAGAGGTTTACAAGTGGTTGAATGGACATAACAAAGGAGATATTAATATGGTATTAAAAGTATCAACACAAGACAGAACACAGACCAATGGATATAAATTGGATAAGTTTAGATTTCGGAAAGAGCTGGGTAAATACTGGTTTGGTAACAGGGTTGCTGATTTGTGGAACCAGTTGCCACGTGGTGTGGTGGAGGTGGGGTCCCCTTGATTGTTTCAAGCGTGGGTTGAACATGTATATAAGTGGGATTGAGTGGTTATAAATATGTTTACGGGCTCACTATAGCCCGTGCTACATGGACACTTTGTTCTGAGTAGCTAAATCTAAAACAACAACAAGGTTATAAATAGGAGCTGCCTCGTATGGGCCAATAGGCCTTTTGCAGTTACCTTTGTTCTTATGTTCTTATTTCTACCCTCTATATAAGGTCCCTCAAGGGGGCTCACAAACCCATACAGTACACAATTATTAATTATATTCATTATTTCACATTCCAGTGGTAATCACATGGCATACTGTGAGATCTCTTATTGATTATGCTGTCCCCGTCATGTATTGTGTTGATAAAGGCAGACTAAATAAGTTGGAGAAGATTCAACATGAAGCCATGAGAATAATACCAAGATTATTATCATAACCCAAGAAATGCTATTACTGAGATAATGATGATATGATTAAACTTAGAGTATTGGGGATAGAATTTCAGAGATAAATGAAGCTTTGGCGATTAGAGTAATGAGAGGTGGGGGAGCTAATGAATTAATCCTCTCACTTCAAAAGGTGGGAAGAAATGAATAATGCATATGAAAGCATAATAAGATCCTTATATTCTAATGTTACAGAGCATGATTAACAATTAACACCAAAATGGGAGGAATACAAAATAGATGCAGTAATTTTTCCCTCTATTTTCCAACACTGAAATGTGCTGTGGTTTGCCATCACCTTGTCCACACCCTCCACACACATTTTAAGTCACTGAGAAGCAATATCGACTTAGTCAGAGACTCCCAAGATTTTGAAATTTCTTCTTGCTCAGCACTTGTACATCCCCTACTACCATAAAAGGTAACTCTATTCTTAACAATGTCTTCCAATTCTATTTTTGTAAACCATTTTTCTTGAGTTTCTCCATCAACATTTTCCACCACACAGGGTTGAACACTGCCGTCATTAGTGGATAGTTCATTTTCCTGAAACTCTTCCATCTGTGATACACCATCCTCTTCCTTACTTTCTTTTCCCTCCGTTTCATTCCCCACTTCACTCCCTACTACACTCCCCACTATTGTTATGGCGTTAAGGTTTCTTGAACGGAACACTAATGGTGCAGTGATTTGCACCGATTCAAAAGCAGCACTGCAAAGCCTAAGTAAAAATCAGGCAGAAAATCTTGCAATAGTCGCTGAAATCAAGAGAGCTGTGAGAGTACTTACCAATCAGGGAAGAGTCATCAAGTTTCTGTGGAGCCCCTCCCATGTTGGAATATGTGGGAATGAACGAGCAGATGTGCTGGCTGCTGAAGGCGCTGAAGGAGACCATATTGAATACTTCATACCCAAGACTCTACTACAAATTAGAGGTATTATCAGGCAACATCACCGTGACAAGGTAACTGAGGAAAGGAGGATAGAAGCACAAACCAGTGAATCTGTACGATGGTACAACATGGTTGCAGCTGGCAATCCCAATCAGTATGGCCGAAGAGGAGGACGACGAGTGAGAGAATCTGTAATAGCGAGAATCCGTCTTGGATACAAATATCCATGGAGATTTGGAATGGAAACAACAGTTGATCAGCGAAGTTGCAGAATCTGTGGTGAGAGTGATGGACACCGCCTTGACCACTATCTAAGTGAATGTGAACACCTGAGAGACATTAGGAATAACTGTAGAATAATAAACCCCACATTGTTTGAGTTAGGAAAACACTATTTGTCAAATATTGATACTGTTCTTAAAAGATTTCCCCATTTTGCACCCGCAAGATAACGTAAGCTTTTAAGGGTTGATAAATGTTAATCTTCTTGTTTGAGGAGCTGTTCACTTGAGACAGTTAAGCAAGTCCCAGCTGTGTCTGGGTACAAGTGACAGGATGAACAACCCAGCGGGTTTTCTTCCTATTGGGGAGTGTTGTACATTCTGCTATGGCGGTATGTTCACTCACAAGATGAGTGGCGCTGCCCAATAAACTCGCCCCTCGGGGCAAAATTTAAATTTATACACCTTACATCACTCCCCACTACACTCCCCACTTCACTCCCCACTACACACCCTACATCACTCCCCACTTCACTCCCCACTACACACCCTACATCACTCCCCACTATACACCTTACATCACTCCCCACTACACTCCCCACTTCACTCCCCACTACACACCCTACATCACTCCCCACTTCATTCCCCACTACACACCCTACATCACTCCCCACTATACACCTTACATCACTCCCCACTACACTCCCCACTTCACTCCCCACTACACACCCTACATCACTCCCCACTTCACTCCCCACTACACACCCTACATCACTCCCCACTACACACCCTACATCACTCCCCACTACACACCCTACATCACTTCCCACTACACACCCTACATCACTTCCCACTTCACTCCCCACTACACACCCTACATCACTCCTCACTACACACCCTACATCACTCCCCACTACACACCCTACATCACTCCCCACTACACACCATCTGTTTACCTTAGCTAATTTTTCGAGAGCTTCAATCGTCTTGTCCAACTTTTTTTTTTAGGTATTCCAAGATCTGTGTACCGACCGCAAAATCCATGACGTTGCCCTGCACCTCATCACCATGAGGGTACACTTTTTTGACTTCGTTTCTTACTGCCACTAGGCTATCTTTAATTGTCGCCGTGCCTTTCTCCCAAAAGTTGGTCACAGAGGTAATCGTTGTCTTTCCACTTTCTTCCTTGTTCCTGTTGTACGAGCTTGCCTTCCTTCGGAGCCTCATTTACCCTGCTTATGGTTACCAGCTTGGAATCGCACACGGGGCTTCATAGGACAGAGAGGAACCAGCATTGTGGATGCCTCAACAATTGTAGCAAGATGGCAATATTGTTTTGTCTTTGTCAATCCTGACAGTCACTGTCGTGAGTCACGCTTATTTCCACAATAATGACATCTGGGGTGAAATTGACATTTCCAAGCCGTATATCCCCAGCGAGAACACTTCATGCATAATGAAGGCTCCTCGATATATTTTGCCACTTTCCTGTATCCAAGTCCTTGCACAAAAAATTCTTTCTGGATTACTTTCTCGTGTAATTAATCTCATTTGAAATTCCTCCATTAGATTTAACCACACAGAGATTTATTCTTGTTCTCTGTCCTTGCACAACTCCATAGCAGGAGGACATTATGGATGCACTAAGAGATGATCCGCTGCCTCCAGGGACAATTACAGTACAGTAATGTATTTTATATAAACGTGTGTGGTATGCAGGTTCCTTTTCTGTAAAATGTAGAAATGTGGACATTTTCCCTTTTTTTCCCTGTTACTGTATTCCAAGGAAAATAATATACCGGATATTTCCTTCTTTCAGCTTATCAAACTACGTATGGTTCTGAGCTGGTATGGAAAAAGTATCGTCGAAACTTTAAGGGTGGTCTTCCTCCACGAAAAACCAGGAAGACATGTATAGTAAGTTATTTTTTTATAGAGTATATCTTAGGATAGTTGCATTGATATACTAACATAATTTGTTAATATACGATTTATCTAATTTTATAGAAGAGGTAATTGTATCACCTGCCAAAATAATTAGTTTGGCAAGGCCCTTGCCTTTCAATGAGATGTAATTTTCCTATGTCCTCTTACAAAATGTGAATTACAAATATCATTTTTTGCCAAATGGGACATTTGAGAAAAATGACAGGTTGGATAACAAGAACTTTTCACACTAGAGATGCTATACCGATGATGATACTTTTCAAAACGCTTGTGCTCTCTAGAGTGGAGTATTGCTGCACAATGACAGCACCTTTCAAAGCTGGAGAAATTACTGACCTGGAGAGCGTGCAGAGATCCTTTACTGCTAGAATCCACTCAGTAAAACATCTAAACTATTGGGACCGACTAAAGAGCCTAAAACTGTACTCCCTTGAGCGCAGGCGGGAGAGGTACATAATAATTTACACGTGGAAAATATTAGAGGGGCTGGTCCCAAACCTGCACACAGAAATAACATCACATGAGACCAGAAGACATGGCAGGATGTGCAGAATACCCCCGTTGAAAAACAGAGGTGCAACTGGTACTCTGAGAGAGAACTCTATCAACATCAGAAGTCCGAGACTGTTCAACACGCTTCCACTACACATAAGGGGCATAACTGGCCGACTCCTCACAGTGTTCAAGAGAGAACTGGATAAGCACCTCCAAAGGATACCTGATCAACCAGGCTGTGACTCGTACGTCAGGCTGCGAGCAGCCGCGTCCAACAGCCTGGTTGATCAGTCCGGCAACCAGGAGGCCTGGTCGACGACCGGGCCGCGGGGACGCTAAGCCCCGGAAGCACCTCAAGGTAACCTCAAGGTAAGGTTTATGGGGAGCCAGTTGGTGGCTCCCTGATGCTGTCTTGCTGAGGTGGCCTCTCACTACTGGGTCACAGCAGTTGCAGGAGTTCCATTTATCCTACTGTGAACCAGAACAAGAAACTGGCTCCCCTTCTAGAAGTTCAGAGAGCTGGGTTCAGATATGCTGTCTGATATGTAGACAAAGGCTGTTTCTTGTTTATTTTTTGTATCTAAGTGACTGATAAATACCCCATCCCCTCCCTCCCTTTTGAATATGAAAATGAATTTCCTTTTCCAGAACAGATTTAAATGTCATCACTTTCATTTTCATATGTATGGGACAGTTTAATATTTTCATCCATGTTACAATACTTATTCTGCACATGACTGATACTTCTGTCTGCCTATCATTACTTTTTCTGTAATATACTTGATGAATATCTGACATTCTTAGAAGTACATTGCAAATGTTATAATTGCCAACTAAAATTGTTTAATTTTACAGCGTGGGAAAATTATCTCTACTGGAAACCCATGTCCAATTTGTCGGGATGAATATCTTGTCTTGGACTATCGTAATGTTAATTTGTTGAATCAGTTTATCGCAGAACACACTGGGGCAATAATTTCTTATCAGTGAGTACTGCATCATGTTTTATCAATTGTTTTTCAGTAAGGTTGTTTGCCTCTTTGGTAATTTTTTTTTTTTACAATTAATTTTTATTTGTGGAGTTAATCTGTTAAACTAATTTTATAATTTTAATTTAAAAAATTGGGCAATTAATTTCCTAATTTCTCTTCTTGACCATTCATCTCAAAATGTTTTGTGTATGCTTAAGTTTGCATCCTGATAATTATCTATGCTTTTTCAGTGTACAATAGTGTGTTGTTGTTGATAACAATTTATAACCTTTAATATGATGGTAAAAATAAATTCGGTAAATTTGTATAAAAATTAAAACAGTAATTATACAGTTGCACACTGAAGTTTGAAAACTCATAAAATTCAAAATGATTTTAAGATAATGTATGGCATTATTGTGCATTTTTGTCTTGTAAAATTTGAAGGTGTCTGTGGGTCTTGCTGTGCACAAGTGGCGTGTTATTAAGAAATGGTCTCCAATACCATACTACTGTAATTTTAAATGGTGCTACATAGCCTTCCCGGTTTGGTGCCTTCTATTGATAATTACTTACTGTAATTTTAAAATAAACTTCTTAAAGTCATATTTACTATAAGTACTTGATATAGTTATGAATGGGTATTTTAGTACTTAGGAAGTGAGGGAGGGAGCATGAGTGTGGTGCGAGCTCCGTGAAGTACAGATATGTGAGTTTGAAGATGAGAGTGCTGCCTTGCCTAGACACCACCGGCTTCCTCTCTCACTCTGCATGCATGCATGCTTTTGGAAGTATTTTGTTGCTTTTGCTATAGATCATATTTTTCCTAATTTTCTCAAGGACTCTAGAATATCAAGACGTGTTGGCACGATCAAACTTTTACATTAGTCTGGTGATCAGTCATGTCACTCCTACACTGTTGTAAAATGTTAATATACTTAAGCTTGTGCTGGATGTCTCATGTCAGCTGAGAGCTAAAATATGCAAGATTGTAATTCAAGTACTGTAAAAAATATGGTTTAGCAACATTTGTTTGATGTTTTCCGATTCCTAGTATGGTTGTTCAGAGGTTTAGCACTGCTTCAGTTGTAAGAACCACAGATTCCTCAGGGACTGTCTGCTATAGTTGCTGGACCTCTATAATTTAATACAGTAAGTAATTATCAAAAGAAGGCACCAAACCGGGAAGGCTATGTAGCACCATCAAAGACGCAAAATAATCAGAGGGCGCTAAATATCGCCAAGGATGCCAATACGAGAACAAAAACGCATAAGGCGAACGATATCAAAAGTATCCGAGTCACCAAGAATTCTATCGAGGGACAGGTGACCGTGAGGGGCGGTCGGAAAGCAAGACATACGCTCGTCCTGGAAGTCAGGACATTCAAGAAGGACATGCACGACCGTAAGAGGGACAATGCAACTAGGACAATAAGGAGCAGGGCGGCGCTCCATCAAGTGACCATTGGTTAAGCGAGTATGGCCAATGCGCAACCTCGCCAGAGCTGTTTCCCACCGCCGGTTACGGTGGAAGGAGGACTGCCACGAGGAAACACAACATTTAAGAGTACGGAGCTTGTTACCAGTAACAGACAACCAAGAAGCCTGCCAACGGGTAAGGACTGAGGAATGGATAACCGGGTAAAAGTCGGAATACGGAATGCCCTTACGAGAGATGGGACAAGAGCGGACAGCTTCCTTGGCGGCAGCATCCGCACGCTCATTTAAAGACACCAATATGGCTGGGAACCCAACAAAACTCAACCGACTTAAATTTACTATGAACGAGAAACAGCCAATGCTGGATCTCGACAACCACTGGATGAACTGGATTAAAGGACCCGAGAGCCATGAGGGCACTACGAGAGTCAACAACAACTACAAAGGAAGACTGACAACGAGAAAGTAGGAGACGAAGAGCATAGAGAATAGCATAAAGTTCCGCTGTAAAGATGCTAGTCTCCGGAGGCAAGCGACACATATAAGTGCGATCAGGAAAAACAACAGAGTAGCCAACACCGTCCGCTGACTTAGACCCATCGGTGAAGACAGAAACGGAGCGGGAGTGAGAAGAAAAGTGCTCGAGGAAAAGGCGTTTTAGAACCGTAGGAGGGGTAAAAGCTTTAGTGATACGGGTCAAGGAAGTACAAAACCGCGGAAGAGGGACCCTCCATGGGGGCAAAGAAGGAACAACACGAGGAGAAACATCAGAAATACGAACGGAAAGAGAATCCTGCAGGCGAGATAACCGGACAGAAAGAGGGAGGTGGTGAAGAGGAACAGGAACCGCAGGAGGGGTAAAAGTTAAAGCACGACAGAGGCGAGAGGAAGGATGTTGCAAGGACCGCGCAAGATAGCGAAGACAGTAGCGATCACGGCGGCCCTGGAGAGACAGAAAGCCAGTGTCAACATAAAAGCTAAGGACGGGAGTCGAACGAAAGGCACCAGAACTGAGGCGCAACCCAGTATGGTGCAAAGCATCAAGACGGCGAAGAGTAGAAGGAGAAGCAGACGAGTAAGCAGGGCAACCATAATCGAGCTTAGACAGGACGAGAGAGGAATGTAAAGCAAGGAGAGTGCGCCTATCTGCCCCCCAAGAAGTATGGGACAAGACCCGAAGGAGGGTAAGGGCTTTAGAGCACTCAACACGGAGGTAAGAGATATGGGGAGACCAAGACAAACGAGTGTCAAGGAATAACCCCAAAAGCTTCGCGGAATCTTTGTATTCAAGGGGATGACCATAAAGTGACAAAGAGGGACGAAGAACAACCCGTTTCCGCGTAAATGTCATGGCACAAGTCTTAGAAGTAGAGAACTTGAAGCCATGATCAGTGGCCCAAGACGACACGGCATCAATTGCAAGTTGAAGCCGGCGTTGAAGGAGAGGCGAATCATCACCCTGACAACAAAGGGTAAGATCATCGACATAGAGAGCGGAGAAGACACCAGAAGGAAGAGAGGAAAGAAGACCATTGAGGGCAACCAGAAAAAGAGTAGTGCTGAGAACACTACCCTGGGGCACACCTTCGTATTGCTGAAAAAAGGGAGAGAGAGCGGTACCAAGGCGCACCCGAAAGGAACGACGAGAGAGGAAGCTGCGGAGAAAGAGAGGGAGATGACCACGAAGGCCAAAAGAATGAAGTTGAGATAGGATATGATAACGCCAAGTGGTGTCGTAAGCCTTTTCCAGGTCAAAAAGGACGGCAACAACGGAGGTCTTCGTAGCAAAAGCAGTACGAATATAGACCTCCAAGTTCACCAGGACATCTGTCGTGCTGCGGCACTTGCGGAAACCAAATTGAGAAGGGGAGAGGAGGTGATGGTGTTCCAGGAACCACATCAGACGAACGTTAACCATACGTTCAAAGAGTTTGCAGACACAACTTGTGAGAGCAATAGGGCGAAAGTCCTTAGGGGAAGTACCCAGAGACCCCGGTTTGCGAACAGGGAGGACAACGACATCGAGCCAGTCCTCAGGGTCTGACGACGACTCCCAGATCCGATTATACAGACTCAGTAAATACTGAGACGTGCTAGGAGGGAGATGGCGAAGCA